AGCTATATGGGAGAAGGCTAGGGAAATTAGGTACTTACCTGTTTGCGACTCTTAGATCGCCCCGAGGCTCGGTCAAGCCGTAAGTGGGTGTGAGGTGCATGGCAAGTAGTGTTTAGTGATGTGTAAATGTCTGAGACCTGGACCAGCTTAGGCGACCAGCAGCGGCCGAGTTCCAGGCTGCCCCACAATGCTGCATCGCTCCAGCAGACCCCACCGCTGGATCATTTCTTCCTTCATTGTCACTATTTCAGTCTATTAGCTTCATTGTACATTTAACTAACTTAAACTCGCCTAATTTCACATTCATCGTAGAATCGAACACGTGATACCCGACACAGTAAGGACAGTAGTTCAAAATTCGAAATTCAATGTCCCGGATTCACTTATCACAAAATTGTAAATAGGGAACTAACGCGATCTCTTAATGGGTCATACGGTTCAGCGTTAAACACAACTAATTTCCTTCATTCGACACCAAAACACCACGTCGCGAAAAGAATTCAAAATACGCTTCGTTGACACGTAAACTAACAAACCAACCAACACACAGTTTTTTAACAGTGGTAGAGCCACGCGGCAGCTTTTGCTGTCGCACGGATGGGCCGGCTCGAACCGGGGTGGTACCACGACCTCACAGGATACCAGCGTGAAGTAGAGGTTTACCTCTGCGTTTCGCTTGGAGAGTGCAGGTGGCCGGAGGCCCTTTTTACTGGAAATGAGGCATTCCATCTTAGTCCTCACGGGTGACAACGCATCTGCATTTTGATTTGTAATAGAGGATAGATGTAGATGTCTATGGGCCGCAGCAACCACTTACCATCGGGTGGACTGTGTGCTCGTTTGTCACCCTTATCCTATAAAAAAAAAACACAAAAAAGGGCACTTAACGCGACGGCACAATTATAATGATTTCCAGACAATCAACCGGGAGATGCTCTCGACCAAGGAATGCGCGGTTCGAATCCTAGACCGTATATCTACTCGACGCGCGCGTGCACAATGCCGCATCACCCGAACAAGTTAAATATTGCAAAATTCACATATGCACGTAGCGAAGTAACACGCACTAAATCTAATTATTCGGACCCTATACGGTCGCGTGAACTTCGGCCGCGATAACCTAGATACGCGGCTTCACCGCATCGCGGCCAGCGAACCACCTTTTTTTCGCCCACGAGCGTCGCACGCTGGGAAGCTGCCAACCGCTCCCCCTCCCCTCGATGCGCGTGACACCTGGTGCCATCGTGCGACTCACGAAGTTGAACGTGATTGGTTATCGTACAAATTACCTTTTTTGGCCTAAACAATATGTAATTTAATTTCATTTATAATTTTGATTAATTATGATCATTATAGCTACGTAAGTCACAGACCTCTTCGTTGTAAGGAGATTATATTAATATTTATTCCTTTAAAAAACTTGGATATAGCTTTTATGGAAAAAGGATTATGTAGAAATATAATGTGTTTTTTATTTGTTGATATATCTTTTAAATAAAAAAGTAGATAGCTCCTAAAAACCGCACAAATAACGACTAGCGCGACATTTTGCTCAACCTGCGCCTTAAATAGCAACAATATTCATATTTTATGTATTACTGAACATTGGTTAATAGCTTATAACTTAATGTTTAACTTCAGTAATCACTAGGTGGTCAGTTTTTCAATAGAGATACGGTTTTAAGAGGTGGCTCCTTAATATTAGCTAGTAAATTATTATCATGTAAAGAACGTAAAGATATTGTGAGCCTCTCTGTTGAGCGAACTGTAGAAATGGCATGTGTTGAGTTTGAGCACCTCATTGTTGTGAGCGTCTACAGACCCCCATGTTGTACATATGATACTTTTGAAAACATTATGGAGGAAGTTTTTGCTAAGCTTAATAAACAGAATAAATCTGTTGTAATATGTGGAGACTTTAATATCAATCTCCTAGAAGCTTTCTCCATTAATATTAAATTTAGATCATTGTTTAAATCATATTGTCTTTTTAATTTATTTATAGAGCCAACGCGTATTTCTCAATCTAGTGCAACATGTATAGATAACATTTTTACAAATGTGAAGCCGTTGCATAAATGTATAATTCAAAAATTAAGTTCTGATCACTGTGGACAAGTAATTTCGTTACCTTATGTTCAGAAAAAGCAAGTAGATGAGAAAGTTGTGTCTGTTCCAGTAACGTCGCACGTCGCTTGGAGAAATTTAAAAGTAACATAGTGAAAAAACTTCCATCACTCTCATACCAAAATGATCCAAATTTTTTGGTATGGAACATTATTTAAGCTTATTTGCAATGAATTTAATAATACTTTTACTTCTAAAACATTCTCCTTGAACAGTCGGAAGTCTTTCAATGAATGGGCGACAGTAGGAGTCCATAAGAGCAGGCATAGGTTATATGATCTTTACCATGAAAGGTCATATAATCATAGCGTCGAATTTAGGGAATATGTAAAAAAATATTCAAAAATATTTAAAAGAGTGTGCTCCACAGCCAAGTCTTTGCATTTGAGCAACAAAATTAAGACTGCTTCCAATAAAATTAAAATGACATGGAGTATAATTAATAGCGAAACTGGTAAGATCAACTCTCGCAATTCAAATTACCAGTTAAGTGTTAACAACAACTAAACTGTATGAGATCAGGACGTAGCAATGGTTTTTGAGAAATATTTTACTGATTTTCCGATCTTGACCACTAAGTCATTGAATTCTTCTCCTGCCGTCGCCGAATCATTACTTAAACAAAATGTAAATGCGTGTACAAAGAATTTTACATTTCATAAAGTGTCATCACAAGATATTTTAAAACTATTGATGTTAAGAAAACTGCGGATCTGTGGGGGATTTCCGTTAAAGTTATTGCCTCTATAATAGATACAATCGCACCTCATTTAGCTATTATTTTTAATACTAGTATGGAATCTGGTGTGTTTCCTGATTTAATGAAGCATAGTAAAGTAATACCTTTATTTAAATCTGGTAGTACATTAGACCCCGCCAATTTTAGACCTATTTCTGTACTACCAACACTTAGTAAGATTTTTGAAAAAATTGTTCTTGATCAAATGTTAATTCTTTTTAATATAAATAATTTACTTCATAAAAATCAATTTGGTTTCACAAGGGGTCGCTCGACAACTGATGCCGGTGTTGATTGAGCTGATTAAATATATCTTTAATGCATGGGGGAATTCACAGGATGCTTTGGGTATATTTTGTGACCTATCCAAGGCCTTCGATTGTGTTCACCATGAAACATTAATCAGGAAACTTCAACACTACGGTGTAAGAAGTGATGCTCTTAAATTAATTATTTCATTTTTAAGTAAGAGAACGCAAAAAGTTGTCATTAACAATATGAGCTCTTCCGGATCGATGGTACAGATGGGCGTGCCTCAAGGCTCAATTCTCGGCCCCTTTCTGTTTCTTGTATACATTAATGACTTACCTTACATAGTAGGGGATAACCATGATATAGTAAGTATTTGCAGATGACACTTCTTTAATTTTCAAATTAAGTCGACAATTACTAAAATATGACGAAGTAAATAATGCTATATCTAAATTAGTAAATTGGATCAATGTTAATAATTTGCATTTAAATGGCACTAAAACGAAATGTATGAAATTCATGACTCTAAATGCCAAACAATTAAATACTAATGTAATTTTAAATGGGGAGAAACTGAGTCTTGTAGATACCACCATTTTTCTTGGAATCACACTAGACGCGAAGCTTCAATGGAGCCCCCATATATCAAAACTAGCAAGCAAACTTAGTTCTGTAGCATATGCTGTAAAAAAGATAAGAAGTCTAACCAGTGTTGAAACAGCTAGACTAGTTTACTTTAGCTATTTCCATAGCATAATGTCGTATGGTATTTTGCTATGGGGACTCGCAGCTGACACTGAAATTATATTTGTTTTACAGAAGAGGGCCATAAGAGCAATTTATGATTTAAAGCCTAAAGAGTCGCTGCGACAAAAATGTAAGGAATATTAAAATAAAAATATATTAACTTTGGCATCTCAATACATTTATGAAAATGTAATGTACGTACACAAAAATAAAAATAATTTTACAAAAATAAGTGATATTCATTCTGTAAATACTAGGAAAAGACACAAGCTAGTAATACCAGTTACTCGACTCCATCGAGTCAGTAATTCATTCTTGGGGCGATGTATACGCTTTCACAACAAAATTCCAAAAAATATACAAAGTTTGACCTGCTCAAAGTTCAAAAACTTTATTAAACTAAGTTTGTATAAAAAGGGTTATTATAATATTAAGGAATTCATGGATGATAATAACCCCTGGAAATGAGGTGATCGCTACCAAGCTATTTCTAATTTGTTGTGTTGTTAATTTGTGTAACATCATGATTGTAACTTGTTATTTAAAAAAAAGTCCCGCTGGGTCTTCTTGCTGTTTCTTCCCAGGACAGAGGTTTTTTTCCGAACCAGTAGTAATCAAACAAAAGAGTGACTTTCAATAAGTATTATTTATAATCTATATTGAATAAAAAAGTTTCTGTTTCTGTGTGTTTTCATATGCCTTTGCAAACTACTTTTCTCTATACATTTATATTCACAGATATGACACGAAAAAGGTTTTTCTCCAGTATGTTTTTTCATATGCCTTTGCAAATTACTTTTTTCTATACATTTATATTCACAGATATTACATGAAAAAGATTTTTCTCCAGTATGTACTCTCATATGCTTTTGCAAATAACTTTTTTCTATACATTTATATTCACAGATATGACACGAAAAAGGTTTTTCTCCAGTATGTTTTTTCATATGCCTTTGCAAATTACTTTTTCTATACATTTATATTCACAGATATTACATGAAAAAGGTTTTTCTCCAGTATGTATTTTCATATGTGATTGCAAACTACTTTTTTGAATACATTTATATTCACAGATATTACATGAAAAAGGTTTTTCTCCAGTATGTATTTACATATGTGTTTGCAAATGACTTTTTTAAGTACATTGATATTTACAGATATTACATGAAAAAGGTTTTTCTCTAGTATGTATTTTCATATGTGATTGCAAACTACTTTTTTCTATACATTTATATTCACAGATATGACACGAAAAAGGTTTTTCTCCAGTATGTATTTTCATATGCCTTTGCAAATTACTTTTTTCTATACATTTATATTCACAGATATTACATGATAAAGGTTTTTCTCCAGTATGTATTTTCATATGCTTTTGCAAATAACTTTTTTCTATACATTTATATTCACAGATATTACATGAAAAAGGTTTTTCTCCAGTATGTATTTTCATATGCCTTTGCAAATCACTTTTTGTAATACATTTATATTCACAGATATTACATGAAGAAGGTTTTTCTCCAGTATGTATTTTCATATGCTTTTGCAAATTATCTTTTTTTATACTTTTATAATCACAATTATTACAACAGTACACTTGTTCAGCGACGTGCGCGTTAAGATGTGCCAAAATGCAACGTTTTTGAGATGTTTTAAATTCGCAAATATCACAATTAAATATTTCCGTTAGTTGTGGTACTGGAGTTTGTTCAACTTGTGTCCGAACTGCAGTGGTGTTCTTTTGGTTCTTTTGCGTCTTATGACTGTATGAAATGTGTTTGACGAGAATGTCTTTTGTTGAAAATTTTTTACTACAACCATCACATTCAAAAATGTATTTTGTTGATGACAGTTGATGACGTTTTTTTCGTAAGTATATTTACACTCTTTTGTTTCAATATTTTCTTTTTCATAATCTTTGCAGGATGCTTTCCTTTTTAGAATTTTACAATCAGTAGAATTTGATTTAATCTTGCTCTCAGACGCTTTTGAAAAATGATTTGTCGGTATGATGTATGGTTCTGAAATACACACGAATTGAACATTTAATTTATTATAAGTAAAACTTTTTATTGTAAGACACCTTAAACGCATTCTCTATCAGTCAACCAGGGAGAAATAGATAAATTATAAAATTACATAATTATACAATGTTGCTAGATATAAAGTATTTTACTTTTAATAATGTCTCTCATATTCATTTTTGGAGGGAAAGAATGGTAGAGAAACTAAATTCGAATGATAATGATGACGTTCTTCTCACCATGTTACAATTACCTACATTAATCTAATAATAGATGCTTCGAATCGCACACGTGACAAGCATTATACAGAATTATTGGAAGATTGTCTTGTCGATTGAAGAAGATCATTTAGGCCACAGTTATTTTAGACAAAGTCTGACTATATTTTTTGTTTTTGGTGATAAAATTAAAAATTTTACAGTTATTTGCTAATAATTGCCAATTTAATTAACGTCTGTTTTTTTTTAATGAATAACAAATCTAAGAAAACATAGTCTCAGCACCTGTGTCATCACTATACATATTTTTGTACAGACACTAAGTTCACGAAAATTTTCTACGATTTAAAGAAACATAATTAACATTTTAAATAATAAACATTTTTGACACTACGTTAAAAAAAACTGATGGTACTTTAATTTATTGTTAGAACCGTTCTCTCATTTGAGGTATAACTTACACACATTTGTTACAAATTTTTCAATTGTCCCCTAAAGCCAGATTGAGGTAGAAAATTTAAATTTTTAGGCAGACTAATAAAAATTCTAATTATTTATTTGTTGAGGTTAAAATAATTGATGCGAAAACTAACACAAGCACGGGCCCGTCGTCTCACTTCTGTTGTAGTTACTTTCAACATCATGGTTTCAAATGCTGAATAAATTCTTTGAAATTTGAAATTCCGGCCATATAGCTCGAAGAAATGACAATGAATGAGGAAGTTTTACGAGTGGCAGCCTCGTACCAGTGGACAAAGTGTAGGGCGGCCCTCCATTAGATGGAATGATGGTAAGAAATGCAGGAAGGCGATAGATTCCTGTGCTTTGTGGCATTCCGTGGGTGAGACCTATGTTCAGCAGTGGACTTGTGAAGGCTGTAATGATGAAGATTTAATGATGCAATGCGCTCATCTTTTCATTTTAATTTTTATAGGATTGGGTGACAAACGAGCACACAGTCCACACGATGGTAAATGGTCGCTGTGACCCATAGACATCTACATCTGTCCTCAATAAAGAATTAAAATGCAGATGCATTGTCACCCATGAGGACTACGATGGAATGCCTCTTTTCCAGTAAAAAGGATATCCGGTTCTCTACAATCACCATACGAAACACAGCAGTGTTAAGCTGCTATTTTACGCTGGTATTCTGTGAGAGCGTGGTCCTTCCCCGGTCGAGCTGACCCATTCGTGCTATAACTATACTACTAATATAGCTGCAGCATGGCTCAACCACAACTAAAATGGAATGACCCACAGCCTGTGATTATTCTGACTCTATACCCATCAGAATGGAACACAGCAGTGCACGCACTACTATTTGACGGCAGAAATAGGTAAGAGGAGGAGGGAGGAGTCCATCTGGGCAGGCACAAATAGATCAACTCCTAGGCAAACATGGAGTCACACCACCTAGTACTGACACTAAGAAGATGGCAAAGATAATTGGTTGCTTACCAGTATGTATCTTAGTGACATACACACTAGCTGACTGGGTAAAAATATTTTTTTAATGTATTAATAAGAGTGCTTTTGACATGCACTTTGAATTTAGACAAACGCAAATCAGTAAATCAGTACATTACACATGAAGCCCTCTTTATTTTGTGTCTACGGGCTACAGTAACCACTTGCCATAAGGTAAATTGTACCTTATTTTAATAATATCAAGAAAAGGGGTATATCTTACCTGTTTCATGATTCTCATTTTCTTCAAATTTGGAATTCTCATATTCGAGAATCTCTTCCTCAACTTTAACGGCATCAAGGCAAAAAATTTCGTCCTTGCAATCATTGTCTATATCACACTCTACAGGCCAGATATCTATATGATAAATTGGTGTGAATTTAATCTCACCTCTAAATCGGATTTTCATATCCAATACATGGGTACGATTTGATACAGGGTAAAAGTGATATTACCCATGCCTACTAACTAGTAGATTCTATCAGAATTAGACCATAGATATAGTATTAAACTCGTAGACAGAGAAATATAGATAGACAAGACCTCAGTGTATGTCAGTAAGAGATAGCGAAAGTTCGCCAAAGTACATTACAACAATTACATGTAATTTAAATTGACATACTTAGACTTGTACCACCATTGTGTGGGTAATCTAAATCTTTTTATTTCGGTTGTACTACGTCAACTACTAATTTAATTAATTTTATTTTCTATGGGGACGTATTTATGACTATTTGACTGTGCGCGAATTGAATGACTCCGGGATGAACATTAAGCGCGAAGAGAAATGAGTTGTAATGATCATTTTATTACAATTTATCTAAGATATTCTCTCAGAAGCCAATTTACATAATTTAGGACCGGGTTTAGTAAGCTCGTGGGGTTTTCGAGTGTTTCATTCTATATTTATAGCTCAACACGTAAATAGTACAATTAAATAAATCATAATCAACTCATAGCCGAATGCATTCAGTTCGCGCATGTCGTCCCTTAGCTAACAACACCGCATAAGTCATTTTTACGAACTTTACAGGAGACGAAAAAAAACTGTCAATTTTAAAAAATCGGCGGAAATTTTCTGTTGTTACTTAATAAATGCCCTAGTTAGCGGTTAAGGAATAATTATTTATAATTATTTTGACTATATACTTTATTTTAACTTTTATTTTATGACTTGAGCTGTGTTGACTGATATTTTATTAGATTTCGGTGGAGTTGTTTGCGGAAATGTTAGGGAATAAGGTATTAATAGATGATTTACAACGAAAAGTTTTTATTACGAAATATTTCAATAATAATTAACAATCGTTATAACATAGGTATCTGTTAATTAACAATGATTTATATATAATATTGTATTTTAATGGCAACACTGCGTCGGTTGTCAACACTGTGTCTGTATGAAGGAAGGTACAGTGCCACCAACTTATCTGTTCAGGTGGACAAAATTGGAACTAATGCCGCCATTTTGTAAATGACATTTCGCTGTCAGTTATTATTTATTCTGAGCTATCAGGTGAATGTTTTTAAAAAGTGCAATTAAAATGCCTAAAGCTCTTAAAAGTGATGCGCGACAGATTATCCTAAAAGTTTTATCTTTTATGAAAGAAGAGAAACGTGTACAAGCCCCAACTATACCATTTGAAAAGCTGTATGAGCGCGTTGCTGCCGCGACTGGTTAGTATTGCCAGATATGGAAAATTAAAATCACCAAATAATGTACTTGTAAAACATAGTAAAAAAATTATCTCAATTTACTGTAATTCGTCTAAAGTACCTAGCTTTGTAGTTTGTGGTCTGTGAAGTAGCTTTAGTGACGGCATATACACGGGCTTACATTTATTTAATTTTACCTATACAATAATTATTTGTCGTTTCGTTACAGGTGTTTCTGAGCGATTTGTACACAAACTCGTAAATGAAGAGAAACACGCTGAAGAATCCAATTCTAAAATTTCTACCCCTGGCAAAAAAAGGCAAAGAAAAACCGGGAAGCAAGAAGTTGATAATTTTGACATTGGTGTTATAAGAAGAAAAATTCACGAATTTTATTCAGTGAAAAAAGAAATCCCTACCATACCCAAGTTACTGAGTATTTTAAAGGAAGATATTGATTTCAAAGGAGAACGTGAAACTCTTCGAAAATTGCTTCACAAAATAGGATTTCGTTATAAGAAAACGAAATCAAATAGAAAAGTGTTGTGCGAACGTAACGACGTAGTTGCATGGAGAGCAACCTACCTACAAAAAATTAAAGAAAATGAGCGTGGTGAAAAAAGACCTGTTATTTATTTAGACGAAACTTACATTCACTCGTCTCACTCAACTGGGAAATGTTGGCAAGGTCCTGAAGAAGATGGTGATTTGGAACCTGTTTCGAAAGGTAATAGGTGGATCATAATCCATGCAGGTGGAGAAAAAGGTTTTGTGGAGAATGCCCTTCTCGTATTTAAATCAAATACAAAATATGGGGACTACCATGATGAAATGAATAGCATTAATTTCAAAAAATGGGTATATGAAAAATTACTACCTAATCTGCATGAACCTTCGCTCATTGTAATGGATAATGCGCCATACCATAGTATTTGCGTAAATAGGTGTCCTAATTCAAACCACAGTAAGGCTGATATGCAGAAGTGGCTTGAAAAAAACAATGTAAGTTTCAATGAACAAATGACAAAACCTCAGTTTCATGAATTAATAAAGAGAAATAAACCTGCTCCGGAATACGAAATTGATAACCTGATGAAAAGTCATGGCCATGCTATTCTTAGATTGCCGCCTTATCATTGCGACTTGAATGCAATTGAAATGATATGGAGCTCTATGAAAAGGAACATAGCAGACAAATATGTTGGAAAATCTAATGTTCTAATGCCCCAATTAATTGAAGATGCATTTAATAAAATTACACCGGTGCAGTGGAAAAACATATGCAATCATGTGAAAAAAATTGAAAATGAATACAGACTAAAAGATGCGTATTTAGATGAACCCTTTATTATAGAGTGTCAGAGCGATAGCGAAACCGATTCCAGTGACTCAGAAGATGAATTATTGGAACCAGTATCTAACGCGGGTACATCTTTCAAAACAGGAATTCCTGGAGTTCGACCGCTTGAACTCCGAGACCACG